TGAAATAGGCTTTTTTAAGCGCAAAAAAGAGATCGCAAGTTCAATGGCTGAAAAAAGTGTCAAAAAATGGTAACTAAATCATATAATTGGCTGTATATTGACCAAACAAAGGCTTAATTAAAAAATCGGCTCGCATCATGCACTCCGCCTTGCGACGGCCTTTCAAACAAAAAAAAAATATTAATATATTGAACGAACCAGGACCGAGAAATTTGGGATGCCAAATGAGTCATTTTTGACCCTTCTATGACTCATATCTCCCTGAAACCTAAAGATTGGGGCTGAAAATTTTATGGTAGTCTTCTTTATCTAACGCCAACATATCCTGAGAGTTTCATCTCATTTGAATGTTCCTGGGCTGAAATCGATTTTTGAGCGGAGGTGGGGGCTTAACTCAATTTCGGACATTTGGGCGAAAATTCACTTTTTTGAGGGGGGGGGCCTTAAGAATAAAAAATTAACTGTTGCGTAATGCCTAGTTTTATAAAGTAGGTCTGTTTCTATAAACGAGTTTTATTGAATTTATAGCAACAATTATATACCTCAACGTGCATATCACAACACAAAAAATATTTAAAAAAAATGAAATTATTGCGAATTCATGCGTAAGATTCACGTTTTTCAAATTTTCAGTACAGTTAATTTAATTAGACAAATGTTTGCTGATCAACAAATAATTATACACGAAAAAAAATCGTATTTTGAGTACGACATTCGTAGTGTACAAGAAAGTTCGTAATGAGCATGAATATTTTAATATTGAACATAATATTTGTTCATTATTAAATTGATTAGTATTGGGTTTACAAGAAAGTTCTGGCGTGCTTTTTAAAATTTTTCTTTTCTTTTTTTCTTTCAAGCATCAAACTAGTTTTCAATGATATATGCTCCATCGCTATCTACGACCTGCCACCAAGGCTCTGGTATAGAGGCTGAAAAAGTCAGTCAAGTCCATTTCGAGTTTGCTCTCGTCATCGAACTTGTTCTCAAGCAGTTGATTGAAGAGAGATCGAAACAAATGATAGTCAGTAGGAGCCAAATCCCGAGAGTAAGGTGGATGGGGAATGATAACCCATCCTAGGTTCAATAATTTTTTGCGGGTCGACTTTGAAACGTGGAGCCTTGCGTTATCATGTAAGTAAACCTGATCTTGCTTGCCCTTGAGTTTTTGTGCAACAAGATTCAAATGCTGACATTAGAGATCGGTGGTGACGGTACATCCATCCAGTAGCAGCTCCCAATTGATAGTTCCTGTAACTCCCCACCAGACACTCAACATTACTTTCTCCAGATGGAGATCGTTTTTCGCAGTTAGTACACTGGTTTGACCAACGCTAAGCTATTGGCGCTAGCGCCTATAATTAATATACAGCACCCACTTTTTATCACCAGTAATGATATTGCGAAGCCATTCGTAGTTACGATAAGATGTCAGTAAATCCATACAAACATCAAGTCACTATTAAAGCTGATGGGCTGATAATTCATGCGGTATTCAAACCCCATATTTTCGCGTCTTTCCTAATTCATTCAAATATGTTTTCACCGTGGTATGAGAGCATCCGGGTTGCTCTGCTAAGCAACGGGTCATCAACCGAGG